GGAAAGAGAGTGATTGACAGTAAGTGGGAGGCAGGCCAGGAGGATGGCGCTGGGATGGGGGAGTAGGAGAAGTTGTCTTTGGAGTAAATTAGCCAGATTGTGGGATCCCAGGACAACAAGGTGGGAATTTCCAAGGACCACTTGTACTCACCAAGGAGTGGGAGGGGCGCCTCGTGGTGAGGGAAGTGTGTCTGCCTGAGGGTTTTGGCTGAGGCCAAGCGGTGAGAGGCTGAATGGGCGGCAGACTTCCAGAAGTGCAGACGGAGGAGACGGAGCAGTAATAATGACTTGGACACACAGGAGGAAAAAATAGCTCAGGGACGAAGATGATGCCAAGGTTTCTGGCCTTAGGAGGCTCATGGGGATCTGAGGTGAGCTCTCAGGGACGAAGAGGAGAGCTCCTGAAAGAACTGGCAGGTAGTAGGGAGAGGAAGTTAGCCCAGAGCTAAAGAGCAGAGTGGATAACCAGGCGAAGAGGGAAGTGTGGAGCTGAGCTTTCCCATAGTTGTGAAAGAGCAGTGTGTCTCAAGGAGGAACTGAGCATTCTGGGAATCAAGATGGTATTCATCCCAAAAAGCAAAGCACAGAATTCAAGGAGATCCTTAGGGCCAGCCCTCGAGGCAGTAAGCACGTGAACTTGTACCAGGAGCTACCACCAGGAACTCAGTTTTTCTCTCTTAAAATCAGTCTAATGATACCTCTCTACTTCATGGGACTATTCTGTCATTCATTCAGTTAACCATCCATCGAACCTATATTTCTTGGCTGTCTTTTAGAGTCAAGCACTGTTCTAGGTTCTGGGGAAACAGAAGTGAGCCAGGCAGACAAGATTCCTTTACAGCTATCCTCATAGCTTGGGAAGTCAGACAATAATGATTTTTTCAGTAGTTGAACAGAATTTTTCCTGTGGTCTTCAAATTTCTGCTGAAGTCACAAGGGTAGAACAATAAGGACTTAAGATTCTCATATTCCAAAGAGAAGTACTACACACTTTACTAATGGCAGAACAGGTTCAGCAACCATCAAGCCATATCCCTCAATACCGATCTACAAATGAAAGGCACTGAAGAAAGTATTGAGGTAGAGAGAACAGTTGCATTAGTAAGCAGGGCTGAAATTTCCTCTGAAGGTACTCCCCAATACAAACCAAGTAAAGGGGGCTCCAAGAGAACCAGTCATAGAGACCGGGGGCCTCCAAGAAGAGGAGACTACCATGACTTCCCATAACTCTCCCTCCACTGATGCTGGTTGAGTCACTGGAAGCTGCAAGCACCTCAAGGCACCAAAGCACAGGAAGAAAGTTCTTGGAAGAACCCAATATATGTCTTCAGGAATTGAGGGTGTCCATAAATAAAGAGGCTTGTAGGCACTTCCTGTCTGGAGAATTGCGACTGTGGAGCCTGGCCGGAGTGGCTTCTATGGCAGGGTGAGGAATAGCCAGCTCACCATTGGTTTGCCGATGTGGATGGAAATGTCCATAAGGCGCATTCAAGAGCTTGGCCAGAGAGTGTTTGGGTACAGCAGTGCAGGGTGGAGACCCTGCAGAGAGCCTCCTAAGAACTCACAAATGTGCCCATGAAAGAGCCAGCATTTGGCACCTGCCAGCCAAGGGCACCTGCTACATGAGACTTCTCCATTTTTCCTCTAATACTTCTCCCCAACAGCAGAAAAGGGGCCACAGCAGCAAAGGAAGGTTAGAAAACCAGACCACACTCTACTCTCCCCACAACAGGATCTCAAGCCAGGGGAGAGTCCCATGGAGGGTAAGAAGGAGTATTAAATTGGATTCACGATTGATTAAATTGGATGAAGATTTGATTTGGACAGGACCAGACTTTTTAGTGCCTGAAAATTGGTCTTAATTATAGAAATGAAACTGTTCTTGTTACTGATAAGGAAGAGCAAGCCAAGGACTCTGAGAAATGAAATTCACCATAATATGGTTGAAGGCAGCGGGAGGAGAAAAAATATAGCTGTTTCCTTATTGTCCCGAAGACCTGATACCTTCAGGTGTAGCCCATCCAATAAACCAGTTATACAGGTAAGCAAATAAATAAGATAATTTCAACTAGTCATTAGAGTCATGAAGGGAAAACAGGGCGATGTATTAGAAAGTGATGACTTGGGAGTGGGAGGGATGCTCTAGCCTGGGGGGTCAGGGATCAGCTTTCCAGTAGGTAATATTCAAGCTGAGAGGAGAAGTGATGAGGAACGAGTCCTATAAACATCTTGGGGATGGGCGTTCCAGGAAGAGGGAAGTAGGCATTAACTTGGCTTATTTCAAGGGCAGAAAGGAGATGAATGCAGCTGCAGTACCGTGGTGAGTGCCCCTGCAAGAGGTGAGACAGATCAGAGGGGGCCAGTCATGCAAGGCTTTGGGTCAGGAGTTGAGGCTGTATTCCAACATTAGGTATTAACTGTACCTGACCTTTGTGTAGTGGGAGAAGTTGCAAACTGGTGCCCTCCTGCTTGCTGGGTATCTCTAGGAAACAGTAGGCTACAGAAATGCACTGGGGCAGCCATGGTTGCCCCGTCTTTGGGCTTTGGGGCAGGGAGCTATGGGCGTGAATGATGAGCTGATTGTTGCGGGTACTCAGAGGGGTGGCAGTTGGCATTCTTGCACTGGTGTCCCTTCACTGCCAGCCCAAGAAGATAAGAGCACCCCGTCAATCAGAGGCAAATTGGATCTCTCTTGGGGAAATTCCTGGGGGAGTGATGGATCTCTGAGCGTGGGGCAGGATTTCATTTCCTTCTTGGACACACGCTGTCTCCTTGAGTGACCTTATTCCAGATCTTCTAGATCTACGCCTGGGTGAAAAAGAGGACACCTTTTTTCAAGATCTGCCATCACCGCCTCAGGCCTAGACAGGACCTTGACGCAACAGGAAGGGGATTAAGATCAGGGAGCGAAGGCGGCTGGCAGCCGCAGGTCTCTACCAGCATCAGGATGGCCAAAGGCCCGGCCAACTCCGCTAGAGGGCGCACGTCCCCCGGCGACCTTCCAGGGCTCCCGCGACCAGGCGACCTTCCAGAGCTCCCCCTGTCTGTCTCAGCACTAGCCTGCACCCGGGCGGACGTCCCAGTGGCCAGGGCGGAAAGCCAAGGGGCTGGACGTCCCTAAGGTCTGTCTCTGTCACGCTGTTCTTGGTACTACTACTGGCCTCTTTCAGACCTTAGAGGCTGCAGCCTTGGTCATTCAACCCGGAGTTTGTCCCAGAGGTCAGTGGCGGGAGATAAATTTGGGACAGGTCGGCATTTCGAGCTTTCCCAGGACAGGAGAAAACTGGCTCAGGTGCCGTTGTCCCGGCAGGCGGCATCTCCTTCACCGTACCTCGGGTCCGCCCTGCGCCTCCCCCAGCTCCTCACGGGTTAACACCCCTCGCCGCCCGCTCGCTTCCCGGTGCCAAAGTGGGTGTTGCTGGAATTCCTCTCTCCCTCTCCCGTAATGAGGGGGCTGAGCTGTCCCTCCGAGGAGGGGGCATGGTGTGGATAAAAGAGACGAAAAAACAAGGAGAGGTTTCCAAAAATAAAACCCTCCGGCTCCCCTTCAGAAGGCTACAGCGACGCGGAGAAGGCGCGAAGGTGCGGCAGCGGCGCGCGCCCAGCTGGAGACCAAGCGCGACTCCAGGCGCAGGGCGCACAGTCCCCCATCTCTCTCGCCGCCCAGTCCTCGCTTCGGGGAGAACCCGGCCTGCAGTCTGACTCGGGGTCCCCCTAGACGAGGAGAAGCGGGCCGCCAGAAGGGGGCCTGAGCGCAGTCCGCGGGCGGCGGTCCGCACAGACTGCCCTTCCCGGGACGGTGCCCCGCGCGCACAGCTCTCACGCGGCCTCCGGCGCCATGAGGCCGCCGACCACCGCCCCCTGCCCCGGGCACGCCCTGCGTACCCCCTGGAGGAGCTTTCTGCCTCTCACCCTGGCTCTCTTCGTGGGCATGGGTCATGCTCAGAGGGACCCGGTGGGAAGATACGAGCCGGCTGGCAGGGACGCGAATCGGCTGTGGCGCCCCGGGGACAGCCACCCTACAGGGGCCGCAGCCAAGGTGTACAGTCTGTTCCGGGAGCAGGACGCGTCTGTCCCAGGCTCGCCGCCCGCAGAGCAGTTTCAACCCGGCTGGGGGAGCTCCAGGAGGCCCGCTGAGGCGGAGGCCAGGAGGCCGCCCCGCGCGCAGCAGCCGCGTCGAGTACAGCCACCTGCGCAGACATGGAGAAGCCATCTCTTGGGCCATCAACAGCCTGCACTCCGGGCCCGGGCCGCCTTGGCTCTCCCGCGCCTCGGGTCCCTGCAGCGATCCCGGGCTGCGCCCCAAACCCCGCCGCGAGGGCGACTCACGGGGTGAGCACTGGAGAGGGAAGATGGGGGCTGGGAGGAACGAGGGCTGGGGGTGCTCATTACTGGAGGGATGTGCAGGCGAGAGGAGAGGGTGCCATCGGGCTCTGCCCTTCATTCCCCTGACTTCAGCACTGTGGGAGCACAGCACAGAGCCGGGCCTCGGAGATCTGACCCCACTTTGAAAGAGTTGACGGGAAAGAGAAACACCAGTCTCACCCTTGCGTACTAGCTCTCTGAGTCCTGACGTTAAATCCTTTCCTAATGCGCCTCGGAATTCGCCCGTCTTCAGCTAACCCGTGCCTGCAGACGCCCGCTGTGCTGCCGGGTCGGAGATGGAGGCGGGAGGGGACAGCGGGGTGGGCGTTCCAGGCGCAGGAGGCCGGGGAGACGGCGCAGAACGCGCGTAGGTGGAGGATTTCGGGGGCAGATGTATCTCTGGGAAGGGGGCTGGCAGCGAAGCCCGTGCATGGGGTTAAATGTTTGGGCTGGGGCACAGGTTCGCCTGGGCGGGCACACGATGGTTGAACATGGGAGTGGGTGTGGGCTCGGGGGCACTTTGGGCAGGAAGCGTGCCCCTGGTGTGGCTGCGGCACAGTGGTTACGTGGGCGAGTGGATCTGCCTGTGCAGCTAGGTTTCAGCGCGACTAGCGCACTTTGTGGGGCTAAGCCTCTCCCCAACCCTGCAATTTACTATCCCCCTCTCCCCAGGCACCACCCGCTGCCCCTCTGGGCCACCCTCTCAGCGTAAGCAAACTCCCCAGCACCTCCAGTCCCTAGTGGAGGACCATCCCGGCCGCAGGGCGCTAGCGCAGCCTTGCCTGGGCATGTGAGGTGTGTCCAGATTTGTGGGCACAGGAGCTGTGAGCAGAGCAGGGCTGGGTTGGGGCACCATCAGAGGGCCTGGGAAGGAACCTGGCAACCCTCTGGGCCTGAACCCAATTTATCAGCTGGGTTTAGTCCCGGTGCACAGCAGAAAGGACACTGGTAACCGAGTCCTACCTCTGGAGGATGGATGCTCTCAGGACATTTCCACTCGCTGTTTTTTTTGGCTGCAACACTCTTCTCTCACACTTCAGCTGGACTCCCTCCTTTCATTCAGATCTCTACTCAGGCCTTCTTTGACTACTCCTGCCCCATCTACTCTCTCCCTTCGCCCTGCTTTATGCTTCTTCATAGCACGCACTCCCATCTGACATATTATATTTCTTTTTCTATGTTTATGGTCTGGTCTCCTAGCACATGCTACTATAAGTTCTATGAAAATAGAGGCTTTGTTTTGTTCATTGCTGTGTTAACAGTACCTAGAAGAGTGCCTGAATATAGGTGATGCTCGTTAAGTACCTGTTGAGTGAGTGAATGAACTCCTTGCTGCCCTTGGAAGGCCCAGCTTAAAGCAGGTGGAGAGTAAGCCCATGTGCTGCCTAGTGGTTTACACACAGAATCAGTAAACAGGTGTTACTGGAGCACCTGCCATGTCTCACTTTTTCCTTTCCTGGCCTGTGCAAGTGAATACATGCTTCCTAAGAGCAAGTGCGCGGAGAATGGGATCGAGATGGGGTCCCGGAGACAAAGGCATTGTTCCTGCGGGGAGAGCAACTCAATTACTCAAAATCGAGTTGGAGAAATGGACAGATATGTTCCAGGGAATGTGTTTTCTAGTACCAAAAGCTTCATGTTAAGCACCAAGGAATGGAACAATTGTGGCTGAGGAGCTCAGAGGAGAAGGAGGCCCTGTGAGCTGGAGCCCCTGGTGCTTGATGGGGCAGCATGTGGGGAAGCAGAGGAGAGGGAGGTGGCAGGAGTGGGTCCCCGAGATGTAGCACTGCCCAAGGACAAGGGCTTCTCTTTGTTGGCATTGGTCTAGGGGCAGGATTGCACCTGTGTGGAGGGGAGCCATGGGGGTGAGGCCGGAGGCATAGATTAGGCCAGATCATGGAGGAGCTTAATGCAGTAGGCATTTAGGTGGGAGTTGGGGGAAGGTGAGATAATGGAGAGTGGGGTTGGGAGAGTGCACTATTAGAAGTCGTGAAATGAGGTGGTAATGAGCAAAGCAGATTGTCACCACAATAAGGCTGGTGGATGTGCACAGGTGTGTAAGGACGTGCCTTGGCTGGGTGCCACCCACAGACACCTGCCATACACAGGTGCACACATCATATCACATGCTGGGTTTGGCTCCTTCCCCAGATTATATTCTGCACCTTTGGTAAAGGGAGAGTTACTCTGGCACTCAAACCAGCCATTCCAAGTCAGCTGTGGAGGAGCTGAGTGGCAATCTTGTTTAAAGGGCTTCCTCTACCTCAGTCTATTCTGGCTAATGGCTCCTGGCCAGGCTGACCTCTCTGGCAATTGCCTTGTGAGTTACTCAGGGCCAAGGACCAAATGCCACCTGCTGGTGAAGTTTGAAATTACATTAGGATTGCTAGGGATTCTTCATTCGTTCAACTAATGTTTAGAAGACATCCTATATGCCAGGGACTGTGCTGGAAGCTGGAGAAACAGCAGTGGTCAACACAGCCTCTGTCCTCATGGAACTGGCAACATAGTTAGGGTTTATCGCACACAACGAACCAGAGAAGACACAGTTCCTGCGCTAATGAAATTTACAGTCTACAGAAGACTTGTAAAGCTATTGTTTCCCAATATTCAGGGTTTTTAGAACTAGCCTCAAGGCATAGCCCTTTCACAATATTTTCCTCTATCTTTTCCCTCTTGCTCTATTATTTTTCTTTAAATTCATGTACTTTTAAAATAACAGGATTTTGTTTTATTTATTTTAAAGTATTTTATATTATGAAGTTTTGTACAAACATACAAAAAGGTATTAGTAATAATGTAACTCACACTCCAGCTTTATCAAACCTTAATATTTTGGCATATTTTGCTTTTGATATTTTTAGTTAAAATTTTCTATATAAATTTTCCTCCCTTTCTCCCCAGAGTTAACCCCTATCCTAAATTTACTTATGATTCCAAGGTATATTTTTATACTATTACTACAGATATATGCATCCATAAAATACATAATTCGTTTTGCACATTTTAAATGTGGATAAGTAATACCATACTGTATTGTCTTTAACAAGTTGTTTTCCCTCCACCTCATTAGATTTTTGAGTTATAACTATGGTAATATAATTAGCCCAAATTTATTCATTTAAGCTGTTGTATATTATTCCACTGTGCGAATATACCACAGTTTATTTATCCATCCTCCTGTTTTTGGACTTTTAGATGAGTTACATATTTTTGCTATTACAAACAGTGCTTGACTCATTTTTCTACATAAATAAATTCATTTTTTATTTTCAAAAAAACTTCGTATTACCATCATAAGCTGAAAATAGAACCACTGATCATGAAGAAAAAGGTAACTGTAGGAAAACTGAAAATGAAAACAAAATGCTTTCAAATTCTAGTCATACACCATTATCTTAGGAAACTAAATCCTGTGATGTGTTCTCTCTATTGAAAAGGGAAACAGGCAAGTGTTGGGGAGGCCCTGGCCTGAAGACACAACCTCAGACAGATTTTTTTCACTGATCTACTCAGGCTAGAAAGAGCACTGAAATGGAAATCACTTTCTCACCATGTGATTCAGCACTGTTGAATGCTGTGACTGTGGAAACCTAAAACCCACTTTCCTGCCCTCAGTGTTGCTCATCTGCTTTTTGGGAAACACTGGATTAAGTGGAACAAAGGAATATTAAATGTATCCCATATGTCAGGCACTGTGTTAGACTCTAGAGGCACGAAGGGAAATAAGAAAGAACCCTCAAGGTAGACAAGACAGAGACCCATGCAGCCAACAACCTGAGACAATCAGTACAAAATGATCACAGGAGATGGAGATTGGGGAGGGCTAGGCAGATGTCAGGGGAGGTTTTACACAAAGGAGGTAACATTTGATCTGGAAGTCTTGGAGTATGCAAAGGATTTTAATTGGCAAAAAGAGAGGGAAGGCCTTGTAGGCAGAGAGCGGCTTAAGCAAAGGCATCAGAATGTGACCATATAGAGTGCAGCTGGGGGATGACAAACTTTAGATCCTTGGAGAATCACAGCTTTGGTTGTGGATGGTCATGGAGATAAGGGAGAGGTGATGGGGACAATTAGACTGCACAGGCAGGCGGGGGCCAGGTTAGCTTTGTAGAGGCCAATGGAGAGCCATGGGAGGTTTTAAACAAAGGATCAGTACGATCAGATTTGTCCCAGGTGGAACAGCAATTGTTCCGGGCTGTTAGCCAGAAATGTCCCCAAGGGTTAGGCAACGATGCTGCATATTGGGCTAATGTTTGCTGAATGGCGTCACCTGGAAAGTTGGGTTCATATGAGCTCTGATCGGTACTCTCCAAGGAGTCAGAACCACTGAGTCATATATCCCAGACAGTGAAGTTCATTTGTTCTCTCTAGCTAGCCAGAGCCAACTGAATGATTATCTCTCAGTTGGCCACTTACCTGGGCCTCTACCCAAAACTCTAATATCGACCTAGAAAGGACACTCAGAGGCCTTCATTGAGAACCTGAATCCCTCTTGAGTGCCCTCCCGGTCCCAGCCTACCACCTACCCCACCTTGCCGCCTGGCAACCTTTGATTCTGGCCAGTCCTCATTGTGGTCCTGACAGCACTGAGGGCTCCATGATGGGCAAGGCCAGCTGCTGCCCTCCTACAATCAGCCACCGAGCCATCCTGAAGGTGTCTGGGTTCACAGCTGGCTCACCATGATTGCCTAACCAGGCGGGCCCCTCAGTCTGTGCTATCTGGGCTCCCGCAGACCTTAGTTCATAGAAAACTCCCAGGCCATGCAGTCTATTTCTTCTTGAAGACCTCCCAGGCCTCTGAGAGGCCTTGTTACCACCACAAGGATAGTGACTTACAAATGGGTGGGTAATTTCCCCCTTCTACCGGGGCACATACAGTCAGAAACCTTGAGTATGAGGGTATGAGGACCACGCCCATCCCCAGAACCCAGTGTTCGGGCCCTGACTGGGAGGAGGCCGTCATGGCGCCAGGAAGCTGCTGAGGGCAGCAGTTTGAAGAGACTTTGAGGAGGCCAGAATGGCAGAGCCTTTGGTTGGGGGGACATTCTGGAGCTCCCTGGGAGGCAGTTCCCCTCAACGTTGGGCCAAAGGGCCAGGAATGAGCCTCAGCTTTTTCAAGCTGCAGGAGTTTATTTTGAATGTTTTGTAAGGCTCCCAAACCACATAAGCATTGGGAGCCCCTTAAATGTCAAACAAACTCCTAAGCAAGACCAGTTCCTTGCCACGCTGGCTACAGAAGTCACAGGGATGGCCCCTTGTTCTGTCCTTCGCTCCGGCTCTCTGGCTCCATACCTCTGCCACCCTACTCATCCTGAGTTTCGGTGAGTGCTTGGTAGATAATTTCTGGTGCTAATGATGGGGTTCACAAAGCCTGGGCCAAAGATCCAGGCCCCCAGAGGTCCTCTCTAGGAAGAACCCTTCTAGAGAAGTCACTCAAGTCTAGGCATTTGAGTCTGTAGATTGAGAGTCAGGGCTGGTGACGCCTGCTGCAGGGGACTTCACCTGGACTGCTCCGAAAGCAAAGTTTGAGTGAGATGAGTGAGTGCCCCGGTGATTACCTCAGGTCAGTGTCTCCTGTGGAGGCCCTCAATGCCAGCACCAAAGAGTAGCTGGGAGAAGGATTATTCCCCATGAAGTTCCATCAACCTGTCCAAGTTAAAACAGTGTGTTCCCTATGCAGGGGCAGCTTAACCCAAGTCCCCAGCCCCATCTTCCTACCAGCTTGCCACCTTATAAGCCCCTCTTAACAAGAAATTCTAGGGCTCAGTCTTACTGTGCACCAGCCTGGCCAAGGGCTAAGGCTCCTCCCCGTGTGCATTTGTTGACAGGTGATATATATGCATGTGCATAAGAGAATTTTATGTCTTCCAGCTTCCCTTGGATTGTCAGCATTTGTTGGGCAAGGACCACGGTGTTTATTTTTTGATGAGAGGCGATGTAGAGTTGGAGCATGACTTAGAGTTGGGCCAACTCAAGTTTGAATGAGGCTCTGGCACTCACTTATTGTTTATCCTTGGCAAGTGACTGAACCTTTCTGAACTTGCTTTCCGAACATCTTCATGATCACTGTCATTATTGTCCTAGCGGAGTGCCTTCTTGTGTCAGGTGCTATATATTCCTATCCTGTTTAATAGTCACAACCACCCATTTAGGTAGGTATTACCTCCTGTATTGTACAGATGGAGAGAGTAAGGTTTCCCAAGGTCACGCAGAGAATGTCAGAGTCAGGATTCCATATTAGATCCGCAGGATCCCAAAGTGCCTGGCCTAAGCCCTGAGGCATCCTAGATAAGAGGGACAGTCTGCCCAGCCAGGCAGTGTTCTCCCAGGCCCTTCCTGCAGAGGGCAGGACCATCAGAGGGGTTCTATGAATAGTCCTGCTCTGAGCATCCTATGCCTGACCCTGTTTTGACGACTCCACAGAAGGAACGTCTGCGGCGGACGGTGCTGCCCAGGATGGACGACAGCAAACAGCACCAACCACTGTATCAAACGTAAGTGCCTCCGCCCCATCCACCCTTCTCTGTCTCCTTCGAAGTGGGCTGGTCATGGGGACTCCAGAACCGAGAACAGAAGTGTCTTCCCCAATTTGCCTCCTGGGGATGCAGCTCCCCTCCAGAGTGGAGGCAGGGTGCTGTGGAAGAGAGGAGATTTAAAACAGCCTCCAATAGAACACGACTCAAATAAAATCACCACTCATGTTTTTATAGCTCCCTGCATTCCCTTCCTGCTGCCCTGCTGTGTTGGCCCCCCATTTGCTCTGCCTGCAGGGTCCCTTAGGTGCCCAGACACCTTGCAGTCTGTAAATGTGGCTGACCCCAGAGCCTCATCATCGCATGTTTGCAGGGGCACCAATCACAGTGTGTGCCATGGGAACCCACCTCTGTTTGGGCCCTGGCCCCACTGGTTCTGGCCTCTGCCAGGCACCCCTCCAGGATGGTCAGATAAAGCTCTGATCCTGTGTCTGGCTCAGCCTCCCTGTGGACTGCTCTGAAGCCTGGCAGGCTGGCCCAGATGAGAGAAGAGAGAATAGTCATCTTAGTTAAGTAGAAACCAAGGAGTGAGGCAGGATCCAGGGGCCCTGCGCTCAAGCATCCACTGATGGTGTCAGAGGCAGTGACAATGACAGTACTCACTTTGTGCAAGGTGCACTTACCTAGCCTATGGGGCAGGTAGGACCACTATCCATTTGGTAGATGAGGCACAGACAGGTCACTTGCTCAAGGTCACGTGGCCTGGAAATGGCAAAACTTAAACTTAGGTAACTCTGAGGTCCCTCTTCTTAATCATTATACTCTGCTGCCAGAGGTCTGACCTTACTTGCTGGGCCTCACTTTCTACATCTGTGACCTGGAGAGGATAGTGTACTACTATTACCATTACTACTAACACCATTACTACTACTACCATTATTGCTGCTGCTGCTACTACTACTACTACTACTACTACTACTACTACTACTACTACACTACTAGCTAACAGCTGAGGACTCACTATGTGCTCAACGCTGTGAGAAGCTCTTCACAGACATTATCTTAGTTAAGACTCTCAGTAATCCTATAACGTGTATTCACTGATTATCCCCACTTACAGACGTGGAAACGGAGGTTCACATTAGTTGGGAAACATGGCCAAAGATATTCCACCCCAAGTGCTGACTCCAGAACCCTATACTGTTCTCTGAGGGCCGCTATTCCCTCCCAACGCCAGCTGAGGCTGGGGCCTTCTGGAATTTGGAATTTCCATAGGTGATAACAGATATGGGGGTTTCAAGAGGCCCCTTGGATCTTTCTCACATCCAGGGCCCTTTCTGAGCCGTTGGGAAACATGGCCAAAGATATTCCACCCCAAGTGCTGACTCCAGAACCCTATACTGTTCTCTGAGGGCCGCTATTCCCTCCCAACGCCAGCTGAGGCTGGGGCCTTCTGGAATTTGGAATTTCCATAGGTGATAACAGATATGGGGGTTTCAAGAGGCCCCTTGGATCTTTCTCACATCCAGAGCCCTTTCTTGTCAGCTCCCCAGGTCTGTATGGCAGCTCTAAGAGCAACCTTGACTGCCCCTCTCAGAGCTGCCACTACACTCTGAGAGGCCCTAAGCCTGTCTGCAAAGCCTCAGTCTCACCAGAACCCCTTCTTGCCCAAGGACAAGCCTCCAGGCTTTTTGCAGGGTGAAGGTTTCCAGGTGCATGACAAGACCCATGGTGTTCCCAGGCCTCATGGAGGCCCTCCTCTCCGGCTCTGACACCTCCCAAGGTGGGGACAAGATGAGGAGGAGATGGAAACAGGATGGGGCTGCTTCCATTCCTGCAGGGATGGTGACGTGGGCTTGCCAAGATCTTGGTTCTGCCTCAGACTTCATGGATCTGACTGCTCCCAGTCTGACAATGAAGCTCAGGAAGAATCTTGGTGTCTCTGGGGATCTCCAGATAAAGAAATTAAAACCCCAAACTCAAAACAAACAGCAAAGCAGATCTACTGCCTGAAATTTTTTTTTCTCTTCAGGAACCCTAGTTTAGTGGGGGCTCTCAGAGGACAGGCCCTCTATAGCTGAGGAAAGAGTTGATGGGGAAGCGACACCTCATAATTTTAAAGATGAAGACAATGAGCTTCAGAGAGGTGGTGACTTGCTCCGGGTCACACAGCTCATTAGAGAAGGATCTGGGACTCAAAATCAGTGACTCCCTGGGTAGGGAAGCCAGGGATGTGGATAGTCAGGTGGTTTTATGCTCAACAGAAGCTCTGAGATTGGGGCCTGGGCACTGGTATTTTTTTAAAAGCACGCTGGGTGAATCTAGCCAGAGCTGAAGACACTGAACAGAGTTTGGGATCAATCATAGGAAGATCTGTCTTGGGGGACCCTACTCAAACTTGAATGTTACTCTGAATTTTCTGGGATCTTATCAAAGTGCAGATTCTGATTCAGCAGGTCTGGGATGGGGCTGGAGAGTCTGTGCTTCTAACAAGCTCCTAAGGGGATACTGCCAATGCTAGTTCAGGGACCACGCTTTGAGTAGCAGGGCCTGGGAAGGCAGTTGGGGTTGGAGATGGGTCGGAGGGTTGGTAAGTTCTAGTAAATTTAGCGAGTGTTGTAGAGGCTTGAGTTGAAGTTGGAGCTGGCTGGCTTCGGAGGATGTGGGCTTCTCACCAGCTGCCTGAGGGGTCTGGGCATGGGCCTCGCTTGGGCCCTCCAGCCCTGGAGGTTCTCAGCTTCCTAACTTGCACGTGATTTTCCAGCATTAGTCTCTGCCAAACTGGAGTTTCAACACTGGAAACTCGTGGTTGGGTGAGTCTGCAGATTGTCAGAACCAACGTGTGTGTGTGTGTGTGTGTGTGTGTGTGTGTGTGTGCGCGCGCGCGAACACTCTCATGCCCCAGGAGGGGCTGCTCTAGCATGCTGCCAATACCCACTTCACTCTCGGGGTCCTCAGCCTCTGTTATTTCTTTCCCAGCCCTCTCACCCTGCTGCTCCCCTGGTCATCCTCAGACCCATGCTGCAGGCCGGCAGCTCTCCCAGAGGAATTGCCAATGGGCATCCGCCTTTCCTACTTCAACTCAACTTGCCCACTGAAGATCTGTGTGCTAATTAGCTGGGCCTTGTGCTGTATGCTTGTTGCTGTTTTGCAGCTAATGAGCCTAACAAGAACCACGTTGGCTGTGGGGCGTTGTCCCTGGATGGCTGGGTCCCCAGCACTGCAGAATGTGAGGTTCTTGGCTCCATACCCTGTCAACTGGCTCTTCTGCTTCCCCAGTGGTTTGCCGCCCTCTCCCCCCAGCCCTCCTGGCTTGAGCCGAGACTGCCAACGCGGGGAATGCTCAGCCTCTGTCCTAGCAGTTTCACACATGTGGGATGTCTCCTCGGCCAGCAGGAGAGGAGGGCTGACGAGGACAGTGTGTGACATGCTTTCATTGCCAAGAATCAAGTCTAGTCCCAGAACTGTGTGGTGACTCGATCTGTCCCCTGGTCTCTCCCAGATATCTGTGGGTTCAATCCACTGCCCATGCTCAGGGAGAGATGGCCCTTGTCCCTGGCCCACTTCCTGGCCCCCCTTAGCCTCCTGTCACAGAATCCTAGGTTGCTGTAACATATCAACCCATCTTCCTGGCAGGCCTCTCTTCCTTCAGCCCTGCCCAGTCACTAGACCTGAAGGTGGTTATTGTTGGAGCTATAGCCCCTCCCTCCACCTTGGCGGGGTCTCAAGGTGGGCCCTGGTCTCCTCCTCTCGCCTTTCCTCCTGTGGCTTTGCCAGTTCTGCCGTGCGTTTTATGTGTTTATGCATTTGTGGAGGCAGTGGACTGGGGCTGCCTGGCCCACTTGGCTGAGGGGAAGGACTGTAGAGTGTGAGAGGACCAGGTCCTGATGGCTCACCCCCATCACCACCCCGACACACACACAGGTTTTGGGGTATTCTGAGGCTCACACTGGGGAAGAGGATTTGAAGAATTCTTTGAATTCTCATTTTATCTCAGCCTAGCTGCACAGAGGCTGGGGCTATTCTGGGGAGGACAGAGGAGGTCCCTGCAACTGTTGAGGAGGGGGCTAGGTGGGTTACTATCCCTCCACCCCAGTATTAAGGCTCAAGGTTAAGAGCACGTGCTTTGGATTCTGGTGTCAGATCCAAGGAATTGTGGTGTCAGATCCAAGGAGTTGTGGCCTCAGATCCAGCTCTGTGTCCTCAGGTAAGTGACTGGCCCTCTTACCGCCATAAAGCCTCATCCATGAAGTGAGTCCAACAATTTAAGTAGAATTGTTTTTGAAGATTAATAAAAATAACACTCTGTAGTTCTTTCTGTAGGTCAGGACTTTATAGTATTAATTTTTAATCCTCACAACCACCCTAAAAGCTGGATTTGATCTTTATCTCATTTTCCGATGAGGTTGACTATTTGTTCCAGTCTTGTAGCTGAGAATCAGCAGAGCCTGGAAGTTTGGCTGTTATCTTAATTTAGATTAAGGAGACTGTTCTGCATGCCTGGGTTTAAACGCCAGCTCTACCACTTAGCTACCTGACTGTGGGCCAGATGCTTAAGCTCTTTGTGCCTCAGTTTCCTCTCCTGTAAAATGTGGCTAATATTAGTCTCTGCCTCACAGAGTTGCAAGGAACAAATGAGATGATGCAGGTTAAGTATTCAGTTCAAGGCCTGGAATGTTCTATGTGCTCTATCCACGTATGGCCTTGATATTGAGGGCAAGGATAGTGTCTCCCAGCCCCCAGCATGACACAAGTATTCACTGGACACAAGGTAAAGGCTCAATAAATATGTACTGAATTAATATTGGGCCTGTCCCAGGTTTGTTCTGAGATTTCCCCTTCTGTGGCTCTAGGTCTATCAGCCCTTCCAGAAAACCCCAAAGCGTTCAGGAGACCCTCAGGAGATCCGGGAGTGGACCTGGGCATTTGCTCCTGACTTTCTGGTCCAGAGCCTCTTTGTGGCTTTCATTCTGGTCCACATCTCAGTGCTACGAGAACTCCATCCCTCCTGATCTGGCCTT